CCCCACGCAGGACGCCATGGCCCGCCTCCCCGTCCTGCCGCGGCGGCGGCGGCCCCGGCCCTGGAGGCTGGGACCCCGGAGGTGACGAGCCGCAGCGCGAGGGAGGCCGGACGGCGCGGCCGGGTCTGGCGCCGAGGGCCCGCCGAGAGCGGAGGAAGGACGGGCGCCGGAGGGCGGGGTCGGCGCCGCCAACGCGGCCGCGGGCGGGGGGCGCCGCCGATCGTGTCCCGGCTGGCGCCGCGGGCCCGGCACCTCCGTGCACGGTCGGTGTCCTCGCCTTCCGGGGGCCGAGGCCGAGGGGGTGGCGAGCGGGAGACGGGGCGCTGTGGGCTCCGGCCCGCCCTCTGCGCCGCGAGCCGCGCCCTCCCCCCCCGCGCTCCCGCCCGGATGGTCTCGCCCACTCCCGCGCAGCCCACGTGGGCGCGGCGGCGCCGGTGCGGGTGCTGCGCCGGCCGAGCTGGGCTCGGGGTGGTGGGACCCGAACGCTCGCCCGGCCGCCGGGACCGCCTCCGCGAACCGAACCGCCGGGCTGGCCAGGCCTCGCCGCAGGTAAAGCGAAGCCGGTGGGGCGCGAGGGCGCTGCCCCGGCCGGGGTTGGAGTCCGCACTCGTCCTGGTCCTGACCTCGGGGCCTTTTGGGGTCTTCGCGGCCCAATCGAGGGGGTTTGTTTTGTTTCTGCCCGTGGCTGTTGGGACCCGAACCACGCTCATTAGCCCGCTTTGCGGAGGGCGGGGAAGTGTAGTGGCTGTCTGGCTGTCTGTCTGTCTGCGGAAGCTCAACCACTGAGCCACACTGGCTGGGAGTTTTGACTTTTTTTTTAGGCTTTTTCCCCCCCCTACAAACAGAATTTGACAAAACTGATTTTGTTCAATTCCCTTTTAAGTAACAGCTGTGTCTGAAATAAGCAACTGTGTTTAGTCCTGAGGATGAAGCAAGAAGCAACCTTCTAGATAGTAATGATTCATTTAAGACAAAGTATTCATCGTGTAGATAGAACATCATTTGTGAGACTTGTAGGGAAGTGAATAGCCTAGCCTTACATAGCCATAAGGTGGATGATATTTAATTTAAAATTAATAATGTGTTAGTTTTCTTACTGTTTTATAACATTGCTTTCAAAGAATTACATTACCATTAAGTCTCTCTGTCTCCCCCTCCCCTTCCCCTCCAGTACTTGTAGAAACTGCATACTATCATAGGTAAGTGGTTATTTTCAACAATGTTTTCAACACTATATTATGAATATGAATCATATTGTATGCCCTGAAAATTTTATAACCATTTCTTATTAGTGTATAGGTTATATCAAAACAATCATATCAATTACACGAGGCATCTCGATAACCATGAAGCAATTATAATGGTGCTTCTTTATTGTTAATGCATGAATCGTTATACCTGTTAATACAAATTTCTTTTTCACGTTATCTTTTTATCTTTCGTGTCTAGTGTTAGTAATACGTATAACATCTACAGTGTTTCGTATCATATAAGACAGTGTTGATATGTAGGTACTGTCAGTTTATCAAGTACACTTACAATATTGGTAAATACAGTCCTGTAGATATTTTTTCTTCCTTATGATTTTCTTAATATTTTCATTTGTCTAGTTTACTTTATTGTAAGAATACAGTACATAGTACATATAGCATACTAAATGTTTGTTTATCAACTCATTATGTTATTGATAAGGCTTCTTCTGTTCAATAGTCGGCTATTAGTAGTTAAATTTTGAAGAAGTCAAAGCAATACCTGGATTTTTGACTACAGGTGGTGGGGCATGGTACCGTTAACTCCCATGGTGTTCAAGGGTCAGCTGTATATACATAAAATACATTTGAATAATTCATTGTTGTTTTGATGAGCAATCTGTTTCTTAAATGTCCTACAAACCAAATTTCAAGAACACTTAAATTGCATCGCTGTACTTCCTTTAAATTATTAAATTAACAGGGATTGTTGGGTTCAGCTGTGATTTGAATGTTTACACATTTTTGTTTTAAATATTTTTCTTACACCAGTCATTTTGTTTTTTTGTTTTTAAATTGTAAAGCATAACTTTATTAGATCCTGTCTTTTGGTTTGGAAATGAGACTGCCTTGTTTTTTACTTGTCTTTAAGAAACATCTGACTACTTTATTCATCTAAAGTTATTAAAGACCCTTTAATTTGAAAAAGTAGTTTTCAGTTTATCTTTTGGTTGTTTGAATGTTGTTTTAAACATTTAAATAAAGTACATTTCTATTTTTTTAATGGTTATTCATATATCCTTTGCAGGCCACTTTAAGAAAAATGGCCCTGTCGGCCCAACAGATACCCAGATGGTTCAACTCAATTAAACGGAGCAGCTTAATTACTGCTGCACAACTCAGAAACCATTTTCAGAGACCAGGACAAACATGGTTGCATGGACTTTCTGCTCAGCCTCAGGTGTCCTCTGACAATTGCTTTCTCCAGTGGGGATTTAAGATTTACAGGACTTCCTCCAAATGGAATAATAGTTCCCAGTTTACCAAATCAAGTGGGCAAGAGATTAATTCTGCCCAAAGCACTATGCTTCCTTCCATGAATGAGCAGTCACAAGAGATACCCACCTTTGATTCTGAGCTGTCTCTAGAAGGTAATTCTGAACTTTCAGAAAAGTCCCTTTTGCCCCACTAGTAGATTGAATAAGCTACCTGTTTATAGTCTTAGCCTATTGCAAGTTATATTTCGTACCAGGCAAGAAAAATAACATGGCCAGTTCTATTTACTTCTACTTTGCCTCTATTTTACTAAGATAAAATGTTTGTAGGGTGATATGTATAAAATTACTTTATAGCTCTATATACAGCATTTGCTTTCTACATACTTTATTTAGATCCGAAAATTTTTTTCAGGTAATTAGGTTTATTAGAGTATGATTTATATCAATAAAAATGTATCCTTTTTTGGGTATATAGTTCTATGATTTTTTTAATATACATTTTTTTAATATATTTTATTTATTTTTTTACAGAGAAGAAGGGAGAGGGATAGAGAGTTAGAAACATCAATGGGAGAGAAACATCAATCAGCTGCCTCCTGCACGCCCCCTACTGGGGATGTGCCTGCAACCAAGGTACATGCCCTTGACCGGAATTGAACCTGGGACCCTTCAGTCCACAGGCCGACGCTCTATCCACTGAGCCAAACCAGTTAGGGCTAGTTCTATGAATTTTAACATATGCATTTAGTTATGTAATGACTACCACACTCAACCAATACAAGTTATATCATCCCCAAAAGCTCCCTTGTGTCACTCTTTAGTCTTCTCCCTCCTGCTATTCCTAGTCTAGGAATGTTTCTATGCAAGAATATTTCACTGCAAATGAGATATTAGGTTAAGTAGAATTTGAAAGACAAGAAGGGGAGGAGATTTGGGAGGCCAGGAGGAGAGACTGGCTATAAGAAATTAGAAAGTGGTGGTTAGAGGCAAAAAGGAAAAAAAAATCAGTCCTTATTTCTTAGGTAGGTTATAGTTTCCAGTATCTTCCATAATCGTTTAAGACTAAAACCTCAGAATCAACAGTGTACTAGAGAGAGTCACTTAACTGTTGATTAAAAGTAAAGGAAAGGGGAAGGACCCATCTTTATGGAATAGAAATTTACCAAGAAATTTCTTATCTTGGAGGAAGAGTAATTGATTTCTAAATGATCTTAACCTTTCCTATCAGAAGATAGAAAATATTTGTACTTCTTAGATGTTTAATCTTGCAATGATCCCAAGATTTATAAATAAGCCAACTAGGGAAGCCAGGCATTTAAATACACACATAAGAATAGCTAGAATGCAGGTGGTTGTTGTAGAAACAGTTTGAAGTGTACAGATTGGAGAGCTGACTTGCTTCTCTCTTTCCATATGGCTGGCTTCACAGGCCTGGACGATGTGCCTCCATTCTCTCCTTTGCAGCCAATTTCTGAGCAGGAGGCTGTTCGGATTATTGCAGACCCTCCTTTGCCCCCCGATTCATTCACACTTCGAGACTATGTGGATCATTCGGAGACTCTGCAGAAGTTAGTGCTTCTAGGTAAGTCTCGAGTGTACTCCTCATTTCTTTTTACTTGGTTTAAATCCAGCATTTATAATCTATCACAGTAGTACATACACATGAGCAGAAGTCAAACTGTGTGGATGGCTTCTAGTGAAAACTACCCCTGCTTCATCCTTCCTGACATGGCATCCCCTTCCCCAGAGGGTCCACTTCTGTAGCTCTTTCTGTGGGTATTAACCCTAAATGTTTTTGTAGTTACTTACTGGTACAGTGCTGCTGGTTGGCTCATTCGCTTCAGACATCAGTTGATCTCATATTCCCCCTGTTCCCGTCAGTTCTCCCAATATAGTTATAGTAACAAGTTTTAGATGAGTCTTTAGTCAGTGCTTACATAATGACCATAAATATTCCTCACTGCTCTCCAGGAAGTGTATTATGATTATTTTCCTTCCTGTGAAACTTTTCATTTTTCCATGAGTAATAATTGTCTTGTTTTTTATTAGTTTTCTTTGTTCCTCGGGCCACATTTTCCCACACCTTCCAGTGGCCTCTCAGGACAGTTTTTCCTACAGTTAACCCTACAGATGATGTACTTGTTCCATTTCCGCACTACCCCGACCTTCCCCCTGCAGCCGACTGTCCCCCTGGATGTGATGGGTTCTCTCTAGGACTGCTCCATAAGTATCTGAGCTCTTGACATAGGATGCGCTTGGATTTGGGTAGTTGAAGGCACCCCAGGGATCTGCGAGCTCTTACCTAGTCCTCTTGTTTTCAGTCTAGCACAGGGGTGGGCAAACTTTTTGACTCGAGGGCCACAATGGGTTCTTAAACTGGACCGGAGGGCCGGAACAAAAGCATGGATGGAGTGTTTGTGTGAACTAATATAAATTCAAAGTAAACATCATTACATAAAAGGGTACGGTCTTTTTTTTTTTTTTTTTTTTTAGTTTTATTCATTTCAAATGGGCCAGATCCGGGCCGTAGTTTGCCCACGGCTGGTCTAGCACCTTACTGCAGCCTTCTGCTTTTTCCATCATCTATGGGTCTGGCACTTCTCTTACTTGATTTTCCCAGATGATGAACCTTCTTTCTCCTGGAGGATTGAGAGGAAGGTAAGGGATTATCTCAGATCCATCTAGTTTAAGTCCTCACTTTTCATTGAAAAGTTAGGAGCTTCCTAACTTGATAGTCTTCTCATCAGCAGTATTGCCCTGATAATCTCTCTAAGGTTAGTGCTCTGTCTAAAATGCAAATCCGACTGTCAGTAACCTGTCTGAAATCCTTTGAAGCTTTCCCATGGCTTTGAATTCTTCCTGGTCCCCCACTGATCTTTTAGCTTCGCTGCTTGCCACCCTTCCTTTGGTTGGTCATCTTGGGCAACTGGAGAACTTAATTCAAGTTCATGTAACTTTTGAAATATCTTCTATGACCTTCCAAACAGAGTGGCCTTTCTCTGGGCTCACCCCCTCCTTGCTTCGATCCCAGCACTAATAACGTTGCGATTGTTGACTCATGTCCTTGGGCAAGTGCCTAAATGTTTAGGGAATGGCCATGTTCTCAAGAAGCTTCAAGAATTCACAAGCACCTAAATACACACATACGAATAGCTAGAATGAAGGATGAAAGTGGTAAGTCCCATATGAGAGGCACAAATAAAGCGATGTGTGGGTTCAAAGGGGAGAGGAAGATGACTTCTGCTGCAAGCAGGGGAGCCAGTGTCCTTCCTCTTAGAACAGCTTTCCCAGCCTTGTGATCGGTGCTCTGGGTAACACAAGATAAAATAACAGGGTCCCTACCTTCAGATAACTACAGTACACCTAGAGCTGTGGAATATGTCAGGCATTCCTTCATCTGTATGCTGATATGTACTTGAGATGCACACCTAAGAGGTAACTTAAATGGCAGTACTGTAGAGGAACCATGACTGCCTTGTCAGGCAGTATTTCTGAGGACCTAGTGATCTACTTCTCTGTTTGCTTCCCAGATCTGTTTTCTGCCTTTCTCTGCCTGTTCTCCATCCCAGGAGGCTAACGTCTGTGCACTAGGGCTCCTTTGCCAGCTGGCTTCTGGGCTTCTTGAGCCCAGAGGGAGGCACCTGGAGGCGGAGAGGGAGGCAGGTAGGAGTATTTTTTTCCTGTTGCCTCCCTGCTCTGCGTCATGTAACTGTCTCCTCCATGACAACAGCTCCTACTGAGAAACCCTCTCTTAATTGCTTCCAGCTCCCTTTGCATTTGGGTAATACTTTTTCTCCCTGTGTCTTTAGCTCTAGGGTGCCCTCATTTGTTCTCTTAATTCTGCTCACACCACTGTCTAGAGCAGGGGTCCTCAAACTTTTTAAACAGGGGGCCAGTTCACTGTCCCTCAGACCGTTGGAGGGCCGGACTATAGTTTAAAAAAAACACTATCAACAAATTCCTATGCACACTGCACATATCTTATTTTGAAGTAAAAAAACAAAACAGGAACAAATACAATATTTGTATTTGAATGTGACCCGCGGGCCGTAGTTTGAGGACCCCTGGTCTAGAGTCTCTCCATTAAAGTTGTTGTCATTTGAACTTTCTAGGGCAATTTCTTTTGCCTGCCAGACCCTGATGGATACAGTAAATAAATATGTGTAACACTAACCAAACACAGCCGTAATGTTTGTAGTTACTGAAATGATGGGATAAAGCCAGCTTAGACTGTGGTCACCTAGAAGTTAGAATCATTCTTTATTATTCATTTTATATATCCCCAGAACCTACCGGAAGGGCCTGGTCCATAGTAGGCATTCATGACTATTTTTCAAGTTAATGAAATTGTAAGCCCATGATTTGTGCTGACAGCAGTGTGCCCTCCTGATGAGATTCAGTTCTCCGTTTGCTGGGAAAAAGCAGCTTTTCAGGATTTTTGTTTCAGCACAGTCAGGATGTGACAGCTCATGCTGAGCAAGGCACTTTAGCACATGTAAGCTGTAATATTTAGTTAACTTTGAAGTCTGAACCCTTTATGTTATTTTTAAAGCATCCCTCCCCCCATTTTGCACAGATTTTTGAAACTGGTTTCTAATTTATTTATCTGTCCATTCAAAAATTTCATTTTTTAACTTAATATTTTAAATTGCAAAAAAATTGTATCGAGTTGTTAAAAGTGCAAATGTTACAAAAGAGCTCTTAACCCCTCTACATTGTCAGTTCCACTTTTCCAAAGGTAACCCTCATTATCAACCTTTTTCTATGCAAATATTACCATACAGAAAGCTATACATAGGTTTTGTACTTTTATGTAGTCAAACTTAATACTATTTTTTAAATTCTGTGTTTTCTTCTAGTAGTTTTAAAGTTGGTATACTTTAGGTTTATATCTATATGAAATTAATTTCAAATCAGATACAGAAGGAATTCTTAATTTTTTCCAAGTGGTCCCATTTGTATTCTACTGAATAGTTTTCCCCTTTTGATTTGAATGCCACTGTTACTGTAGGCCAGATTTTTAATTCATCCTGGCTCTTTTTCTGGTCTTCATTCTGTGTGTGTGTGTCTATAGTCTTTTTCTGCTTTCAACCATCTTATGTCAATACCTGATTAATACCCAGAAATTTGAGTTTAGAATATGGATCTAAAAACATCAAATAATAATTTTTCTATTTGTAGATACCATTAAAGAAAGAATGTTCTTATTTCATTGCTTTTGTATTTTAGATTGCAAAGTTGCATCTATAAATCAGTTTGAGTTATTTTTAACCTGATGAAATATGTTAATGAATATGACATTTGAATCTAAAATTAGGGTTTTACATTATCCTTAAATGTTTATTCTAAAGTAAGGAATAGGCCTTTCCTATTCATGTTTATTTTTTAAAATCACATAAAAGGAAAAAAATGAGAGAATCAAGTGCTCGGTTTTAATGAGAATTTTGAATTACAGGTTACTTTGATTCTCTGCCTAATTAATGCTGACACCTAATTATATCCATAACCAAAGAATGATATGAAATAATATCTTGATATTGCTTTTTTTTACTCTTTCTCTCCTGTCCTTGTGTGCTTTACTTAGATCACCTCGGAGTGGTAATTTAGCTCCAAATACAGTTTTCCTCTACATATGACTTTGAAATAAATACTGTGTTTTCATTTTTATTTATTTTTATTTCTGCAACCAATTTAGTTGAAAATACTTTGAAGTTTCTGTTGGCCTTTGTCAGTTCTCCTTTGGATAGGTTGTTCATTTCCCATCACTAATTTCCTAAACGTCTGTGTCTGAAGTTTAATGGCTGAGTTAAGCAGTTCTCTTCAATGTGTGTATTTATTGCAGGAGTGGACTTATCCAAGATAGAGAAACACCCAGAAGCTGCCAATCTCCTTCTGAGACTGGATTTCGAAAAAGACATTAACCAAGTACTCCTGTTCCTTAAAGATCTGGGGATAGAGGACAGCCAACTGGGAGCATTCCTGACGAAAAATTATGCTATTTTCTCAGAAGACCTTGAAAATCTTAAGACCAGGTAGGGTTTTTAGAATGATTCCCACATAACCCACGAAGTGATTCTAAAGGAAATATATGTGTTGTTTTTTTAAGTCTCAGCTGCACAAGAATCAACCGAGATAATGAACATGAATGTTATTGTTTTGTTTGGACTTTGATCAAAATTAAGAATCTAAAACAGTTTTTTTTTTTTTAATTCAACAGCCCATTCTTATTTTTATCTGAAAACAAAAACATCAAACATAAAAACTTCTTGCTGAGTCAGTACTTAACTGTTTCTCTTTGGAAACTGGAATAAGTTTTCTTTTAAATCCATTAACAAATGTCAGGATTATCTGAGAGTACATTTAAAGTTAAGAAAGCCTGCATTTGTGTGTTCTTTACTAGCTAGTTTTTGAAGGTAAACATTTGACATTCTCTCGGCAGATTGTTATATCATTTGCTTAATCGTTCTCATAAGTTAGCTATTTTAGTTCCTTTTTTTGTCTTTCATTACCACTTCCATAAACACCTTTGTGCATCCTTCAACATCCAAAGAATTTACTGAATCTGTGATATGAATACAGTGAGGTAGTATTGATCTAGAGCAGTGATGGCGAACCTTTTGAGCTCGGCCTGTCAGCATTTTGAAAAACCCTAACTTAACTCTGGTGCCGTGTCACATATAGAAATTTTTTGATATTTGCAACCATAGTAAAACAAAGACTTACATTTTTGATATTTATTTTATATATTGAAATGCCATTTAACAAAGAAAAATCAACCAAAAAAATGAGTTCGGTGTCACCTCTGACACGCATGTCATAGGTTCGCCATCACTGGTCTATGGGATCAGGATTCTGCTAGGCATTGGGGGCACCATAGAGAACAAAGCCCCTGTTGTAATTCACACGTTGAATTCATCAGCACCCCCACCTCTCACCTCAGTGACCCCCTGTACTCCCCGGTTCGCTGAATGGAGCGCTGTTACCTGCTGCCCCAGTCAGAAATGCTGGTATTAACTTGGGCCACTCTTAGCTTCCACATCCAGTAAGTCACCTCGTTCTGTCGATTTTACCTGTTTATATCTCTCCAGTCAGTCACTGCGTTTCTCGTAATCTTCACTGCGAATGCTTTAACTCAGGTCTTCATCATTTTGCACCACGATTACTGCAGCAGTCTCCTCGCTGGTCTGCCTCCAGTCTTCTCCCCCAGACTCTTCTCACTCTGGTGTTGGTCTCACCACATTTCAGAGAGCTTTGCAGTTCCTTAACCTTCATAGTTTGACAGTCTTTTTTTGCACTAGGAAAAAACAGAACAGCACATTCCTTATATTGAACAACTTGAGCCCTTATTATAAAGCAAAGCACTGGGCTAGACTTCAGTCATGTAAGACAGTCACACTCTCTCCCTTCATGGGATTTCATTACAGTACAGAGGAGGGAAAGAATGACTCTAGGAAACTCAGTCTGACATACCCACATCTCCTGGCTGTCTGGAACACTATTTTCTTTCCATTCAAAAACCTACTTGCCCTTCTTGTTCAAGATTAATTCCGAGGAATCGTGCATACCAGGAAGTGGGGATCATTGGGAGCCCTTACAGTACTTCCTACTGTAGTACTAGTATAAAGGCCTCATTTTATAGGGGAGGCACAGAGAGGTTAAATAATCTGCTCAAGGTTATGTAGCTAGTGGCAGGCCTTGGGTTCAAACTCAGTCTAACTCCAGAGTCCTGGCTACTACACCTGGCTGTACTGTCTCTTCTAATTCTATGGAAGAAACTTAAGTGTAAAAGGGGTTTGTTACACATGCGCCTAACAACTAAGGAGTATTCTCATACAGGTGGTAGTTGAGTGGTTCCTAAAACCTGGCTGATAAATTAAACTGTGGAGCATTTTTTACATTAATTTGAGTATTTTAATCGGTAATTTATCCACATGTACTCAAAGGGTGTACAATGAAAAAGAAACTGTATTTAATTGAACTTAGCTTCTGGCTTTGGTTTATGTACAGGATTCTTATTTTCTAGAATTTCTAAAAGCACTGATTTCATATACTTGTTTTCTTTTTAATGAAGAAAATTTTAAATATGTAAAATGTTATTTGATACTTTATAAGAATTTTCAAGTGAATCTGCATTTAATTATTTTTTTCTATTTGTGCCTTATATGTATAATATTTTATTGATAAAATTATCACAATGTAGACAACAGTTTTGATGTTTTAATCAGATATTGATTCTTTTACTGCCACACAAACAAAGAGTAATCCTCCTTGGTGACCAAACTGAAAGGCTACACATCCTGGGCCCTTGGACTATTTGTGGCAGATCTGGCTGCAAGGATAGTGAAGAATCTTAGGCAGGTGCGTCCAACTTCCACCATGATTAAGGATCTGTGTGGAATAAAAGCAAACGTCTTCTACGGTGTTCCTTGCATCTTGGGACAGAGTGGCACCTCAGATGTTGTGAAGGTGACCCTGACGCCTGAGGAAGGGCCGTTTGAAGAAGAGTGCAGACACATGGGGGACCCAGGGGAGCTGCAGTCAAAGTCTCCTAATGTCCTACCACCTCACTGTCCAGGCTGCAGCAGGATTTTAGTCGGAGATTGTACCTATTGTCCTTTTTATCTGATCTCTGACTAAAAACATTGGTTTCCTAAATACAGAAATAGGAGTGGTTTGTAAAACCCAACATCTGTATCCTGATGCGGATGGTGCTTGTCTTTTGTCATCCTACACTGGTTAGTGCGAAACAGTCCCACTTCCTCAAAGCGCCAGTGTTGCACACACTACAGTTGCCTTGCAAAGTAGATGTGTGTTCACTGTGTTATATAACTGTGGTTCCTTTACCCAGCATGCCTCAGCCAACATTTTTTTCTCTGATCCACCACATCCTGGGATCCAATGTACAGACTGAATATTAAATGTCCTGTGCATAACTATCCTAAAGGATCTTATTTTGTGTACTAGATGGATCAGATCAGTATACATTGCCATATAATGTGTAAAGAAAAGTCTACATATGAATAATGCAGCCAAGTGTCATACCAACTAAAGCACCAAATGAACGGTGAAAAAAAAAGTAACCCTCCTTTCTGCCTACTTACTCCTGTCCCTCATCGTCCTTCTAAAAGCCATCCATGGAGGCAGCTACTGTTATCAAGTTTGTTGTTCAACCTGCTAAGAATGTTCTGTACACAAGCATATATGCATTTCTTTGTACATGCATACACATGAGCACACATACATACAACTGGTAACATTTATACATACTACTAGAGGCCTGATGCACGAAATTCGTGCAAGAGTAGGCCTTTGCAGCCCCAGTTGCCTCTGCCCTCCCAGCCCTGGCTTCATCTGGAAGGTCGTCTGGGTCTGGACGGTCGTTCCGCTGTTCAGCCGTTCGGTTGATTTGCATATTACGCTTTTATTAGTATAGATTCTGCACCCCACTTTCTTACGTTAGCTATACTAGTATGTTGTAGATAGTTTGATATTGGTGCTTCCTATTCTTTTTTTATCCCTCGTGTAGTTCATACTTTGAGTCTATGTAGTCCCTTATTTGTAAACATGGTGGTTGTTTGTGGTCTTTACTATTTCAATGAGGCTGCAGTGACTCTCCTTGTATAGACATCGTTCCACACGTATTGGTGCGCATCTGTAGGAAAGATCTCTAGAAATGGGTGGGGGGATTATAGGTCAAAGGATGTGTGGGTTTGTCATTTTAATAGGCGTTGACAAATTGTCCCTTGTGTAGGTGGTGGTTGTCCAATTTATACTCCCACCAACATTGTACAGAGTGCCAATTGCCCTATTATCCTCACTAAAATGGTGTTACCAAACTTTATGATTTCAGTTCATTTTATAGATAAAAATAATGCCTTATTGTTTTTGAAATGATGTTTTGAACATCAAATATTTGGAGCATTTTTCATATGTCTATATTTCATCTTTTTTTGGTAAGCATTCTTTTATATAAGAAAATGTGTTCTTCCTTGTGACATGTAAATGTTTTCCGAAGTAACAGTCATTTGAATATCTATAATAAAAGCGTAATATGCAAATCGACCGAACGGCCAACCACGCTATGAAACGCACTGGTGCCAGGCCAGCCAAGGCCAGTGCAATGAGATTGTTCCAGGGGCCTCGCCATCACCCCACGATCACCCTGCAGATGGAGGCCCAGGCCACTGGCTGGCGGGGCAATCAGTCAGGGCGGGGGGGGGGGGGGGGGGAGGTCCGCGGTCGCCCAAAAGAGGGAGGCCCAGGCCACCTTCTGCGGGGCGATTGATTGGGGTGCTCTGCAGAACTGGGGACCTGGGAGTGTGTGGATGCGGACATGGGCAGCACCAGGCCAAGGCAGGTGCGGGCGGGGGGCGGGGCCATGAAGCTGGGCCACAAAACGGGGGCTGCGAAGCCGGCAGCCGGGGAAAGGAAGGCCTACCCTTGCATGAATTTCGTGCATCGGGCCTCTAGTAAAATATAATGTCTGATACATGGTACAGAAATATTGTAAGTGTTAAAGGGAGGCATAGAACTTAGTTGAAATCTCAATTTGCCATTAAGTAACTGGTAGTTTTGTAAGTTATTTAATTTCTCTGGATCTATGTGTTTTCAAATGTAATATGGACATTTTATCTGGTTCCCAAGGTTTGTGTGGGGGTTTTTTTGTTGTTGTTTTTTTTTTCCTGGTAAGAATTAAACAAGATAATGTCCTGATATATTTTAGACATTTACTATAGTAATAACACTGACTTTTACTCTGTTTATAGATTTTTAAAAATCAATACTGTTATTTTATAGTCAGACTTTCTATATTTCACTACCTTATTTTGGTTTCCAGAAATTTAGCAGGAAATGTCTTCATTGTTAACAAAATACATATTGAAAAACTACAGTAAAAATTAATTATGAAAATACATACTTAGTAAATGCACTAAAATTCCTTTCAGTTTCTCTGAGATACTAAAATAAATTTCATCTCATACTTAAGAGTCTTTCTTTCTAAAAAGAATTCTGAATCTATTTTCTTAATTTGTGTATTTTCTATTCTTAGACCCCCAAAAAATTCTTAAACAGAATCCATTTCTTTTTTTTTTTCTACTAACAAAATAAGTTAGATTAACTAAAATGGTAATTATTTCCTGCTTTTAACTGTAAATGGGGACCATTCTAGAGTTGGATGGATGCTTAATTTAACCATATTTGGGCCATTATTGTAGACTTAGAGGCCCAATGCACGAAATTCGTGCAAGGAACTCAGCCCTCACAGCCCTGGCTTTATCCGGAAGGACATCCAGAAGGTCATCTGGAAGGACGTCCAGAAGGTCATTCAGCTGTCCGGTCTAATTAGCATATTACACTTTTGTTATTATAGATGGGATTTTTTTATTATTTTATTTTATTTTGGGGGGTATGGAAGTCTTTAAAAAGAGTAATTATTTTAGAAAGTAGCATCGCTAGTAGATGTTTATCATGTATGTATATTTGTGTTTCTTTAGGGTGGCTTATCTACAGTCAAAAAGTTTCAGTAAGGCAGACATCGCACAGATGGTCAGGAAGGCGCCATTTTTGCTGAATTTTTCAGTGGAAAGACTGGATAACAGACTGGGATTTTTTCAGAAAGAACTTGAACTTAGTGTGAAAAAGGTAAAGCAAAGGGGAGAGCCCTAGCTGGTTTGGTTCAGTGGATAGAGCATCGGCCTGCGGACTGAAGGGTCCCAGTTTCAATTCCGGTCAAGGGCACGTGCCCGGTTGCGGGCTCGATCCCCAGTAGGGGGCATGCAGGAGGCAGCTGATCAATGATTATCTCTTATCATTGATGTTTCTATCTCACTCTCCCTCTCCCTGCCTATCTGAAATCAATAAAAATATATTTTTAAAAAGGGGGGGGAGAATTTTTATATTTCCATGTCAGCTATATTTAGTAATTGTTAAATCTCATATTTCTAACAGCTGTGAATGAAGAAACCTGCTAGCTTAAACATGTAGCTGTATTATTTTATAATATTCCATCAAATTGTTACCTTAAGTTTTGTTTTTAGTATGTTTTTTCCTCAAACAGTTTTACATTTATGTATTTATTCGGTTCTTAGCCCTTTTCTGAGGGTCATTTTAGAATTTTTAGTTTTGTATTTTCTTGATTGCTTTGGTTTCCCAAACTAGTTGCACGTATAGTAATGATAGACTGTTTTATAACTGCAGACTAGAGATCTGGTAGTTCGTCTCCCAAGGCTACTAACTGGAAGTCTGGAGCCCGTGAAAGAAAACATGAAGGTAGGGTGATTTGAAGCTTTTGCAAAGTCAGCTTCTGTCTTGAAGTGTTTGTCCTCTGAAGAGGCTAGATTTTCCTGTTGTCACCTTAAAGAAAACTGTGATAAATGAGGTTCTTTCTAAAAAGATGGAAATCGGAAATGAGAAATACCTAGCAAGCCGTTTGTTTTAGGTGATGCTATTTTCACATGTTCACCAGGTGGTACATGAGTACGTCACCTTGCAGACACAGATGCCTGTAATCCTAGGTATGTGGGTGGTCCCTGGAAACTGCTTCCATTGCCAGTACGAGAGTCTTTGTCTGTGTGGCGCAGGTGGGAGATGAGTTTTGGAGACTGGATCCAGAAGGCTTCTGTGGCGAGAGCAGTGGCCAGCACATGGCTCTCCTTACACCTGTGCCAATGAGATTTTTTCAGAACTTGAACTTACATGGAACATACCAGACATTCTTCACCGTTTTTCTCCCAGCGAATAGCATAGAGCCAAGGGCAGCTGACTAGTTAGTATACAAAGCTGTAGTAATATTTGAAACTAGTAGCCCATCGTGCGATATTGCACCCAGTAGGCCTCCCACCGCTTCTGTGGGAGCCAGGGGGAGCCGCGCTGCTTCCAGGGGAGGCAAAAGCAAGCTGCCGATGCCCACGGGAGCCGGGAGGGAGCTGCATCGCTTCCGCGGGGGGCGGGAGGGACCTGCACTGCAGAGGCTGCGGGCCAGCCCCCTTGTCCCTGTCTGTGTTGCTCTGGCTCTGGGGGTCCGGCCCGAGCTGGGCGCAGCGACAAAGTAAGCATTCCGCCAGGTCGCTCACACTGCCCACTCTCAGCAGCCGCCGCCCCCTCCCCCCACCCCCCCTCCTGGGACTGGGGGACTCTGGTGTGGCTGAGAGGACTGGGCGCTGCCGTCTTTGTGATGGAGTGATGGTTAATTTGCATATTACCCTTTTATTATATAGGATTATTAACCTAAGGCCTCACAGTGTTTTCTGAGGTGCTCACAGTGTTTTATATTCAGTTGTAAAAGTTGTTGAGCACCTGCCCCCACACTGTGCTGGGGGGAGGCCCTGCTCTCATGGAGCTTCCAGTCTAGTGGGGAGAGTGTGCGGAGTGATACAAGCCGGGGACTGGTGGGGGCGCTCAGGCTGCACATAGAAGACCGAACCCACGTTTGGGTGTGTAGGTTTTTCATCTCTGTCTGGAAGTTTGACATGTAATGTTTCAGATAACACTTGGGAGCAGAGGCTCAAAAAGCACTTTGAAAATCTTACTGCTGTATGGTAGGGCCCAAAACGACAACCTGACCGGGTCTCCCAAGCCACCATCATTCTGTCGCATAATTATGAGAGCTCCTTTGAGATCCACCCATGCTGTGAGTAGTTCATTCTCAGGAGGGGGATTTGAAATTCAAGTTACCCCAGAAGTAGGAGGCTACGATCTCATGAGGGCATTGGCATAGCTGTCCTCAGAACTTACTGTCCTTATTTTAAATATTAAAAGAATCAATGTGTCCTCTAGCATAGTACCAAGATAACTTTCTATTCATGATTTATAGCAACTCTACTTTCTTTTAGGTTTATCGTCTTGAACTAGGTTTTAAACGTAACGAAATTCAACATATGATCACCAAAACCCCAAAGATGTTAACTGCGAATAAAAGGAAACTTACGGAGACGTTTGATTTTGTGCACAATGTGATGAGCATTCCCCACCACATCATTGTCAGGTTCCCGCAGGTAATGCGCACAGCTCCGGAGAGCCGTCCTTGCCCTCCGTCTGCCGCCGCTCTCCAGCACTCCAGCACTCCAGCATCACGCTGCTCGCTGTGACAATGCCTTGCTGTTTGTGAAGGAACTGGACCAAATGCAGTCTGGTGCTGAGGGTTGTGTGAAAGTCATATTTCTTTTGCCCATCTTTTTATCAAGATAACACTTTGGAGCAAAGGCTCAAAAAGCACTTTGAGCCCTAGCTGATTGGGCTCAGTGGATAGAATATAAGCCTGGGGACTGAAGGGTCCTGGGTTCAATTCCAGTCAAGGGCACACACCCAGGTTTCGGGCTCCATCCCCAGTGTGGGACGTGCAGGAGGCAGCCAATCAGTGATTCTCTCTCATCACTGATGTTTCTTTTTCTCTCTCCCTCTCACTTTCTCTCTGAAATCAATAAAAATACATTTAAAAATAAAAACATACACACATAGATTTGAGTCTCCCCAAACTCTAGATTCTTGAAACCCCAGTCGTAGAACTGTTGCCACCGTATTGGGACTCTTAGACTCCTAGTGGTCTGGGTGGTAGTGCTGGGAAAACAAAACAAAACTTATCAATGGAAAAATACATTAACTGAAAATAGGCTGTGAGGAAACTGATATAGACTCGATTTTTGACAGATACATTTATAATTCTGGTGTGAAACTAATTGTCTCAAGCAAATAACAGTTGTTGGCACAGCAGTTTTATGATTAAGTAACATGGGAAACAATTATAACTTAATAGGTATGGTTAATTTGTCATTTCAGAGCAGGATGGTGGATGGTAAAGGATAATGACATGAGGAAATATCTCGCTAAGGAAAGATTGGTACACTTCTGGTTATATTCAGGATTCCATAAAACTTTCTCTCCCCACTCCCTCTGCGCTTCTATGAGGCAGAGCTGGAGTCCACATCAGGGAACAGGGAATCAGTAATTCTCAGGCCAGGTTTTTTTTTTTTTTACTCCCTGATATTTTAATGGATCATTAACAGAATGAAATTTTCCTGTCTCTGGATTGATTAGTCAGTGTTTCTTGACTACAATGTAGCCCTTAATTTTTTTTATAATTGTTCTGTTTGTAAGTTTTGAGCAGGGGTCCTCAAACTTTTTAAACAGGGGGCCAGTTCACTGTCCTCAGACCGTTGGAGGGCCGGACTATAGTTTAAAAAAAAACACTATCAAAAAATTCCTATGCACACTGCACATATCTTATTTTGAAGTAAAAAAACAAAACGGGAACAAATACAATATTTGTATTTGCATGTGGCCCAAGGGCCGTAGTTTGAGGACCCCTGGTTTTGAGTCCCTTTTTAATCATAATTCCTTAGTGGGAGCTATAAACCTTGGGCATTTATCAGGTTTACTGAGCATGTGGTCAATACTTTACATTTGTTAGCCTATTAACATTTTTAGCCATATAAACATTTTAATAGTTCATCTTTCAGTGCATAATTTTTTAAAACTCTTTTTCTTTTGTAGGTATTTAATGCAAGGTTGTTTAAAGTCCAAGAAAGACATTCATTTCTGGCCTATTTAGGAAGAGCACAGTATGATCCAGCAAAAGCTAACTACATCTCTTTGGACAAATTGGTATCAGTACCTGATGAAATATTTTGTGAAGATCTTGCCAAAGCCTCAGTACAGGACTTTGAAAAATTCTTAAAAACTCTTTAGTTTTTGATGAATGTTAAAATGTAATCATGTAAAATAAAAGTATGTATTAATAAATTAATATACTTCAAAAGAAATGCCTTGAACCTTAATTGATATTGGACACAATTTCTTGATGTTATAAATTTGAGTACACGTCTGGTAGATCTTAAAAGTTCCTAGTGACTTAATTCTTTGACTCAACCATTTCCTTCCTTCTGGGGAAGGAGAAAACTCAGAATATAGCAAGCTTAGAGAAACAGCCGGTTTTGCTATATATAGGCTGGCGTTGCCATTTCTGGTGAAGATGAGAAGTGGAGGATTTTCCTCTTAAAGTCACAGGGCTTTTATTTTATTTTTTTAATCTTTTTTTTTTTCTTTTCCAGAGATGAGAGGGAGCGAGAGAAACATCAAAGATGAGAGAGAATCATTGATCACCTGCCTCCTGCACACTCCCTACTGGGGAATGAGCCCCCAACTCAGGCATGTGCCCTGACCTGGAATCAAACCGTGACCTCCTGGTTCATAGGTCGAAGCTCAGCCACTGAGCCACGCTGGCTGGGCAGTCATAGAGGTTTTAAAGTGGCTTTATCACAAAACATCTGTATTTTCTTTGAAATGTTAAATGAATTTCTGGAGCATACTATATTATCTATCTAATATCTACTACTCACCTAATGCTACAAAACATGCAATTTTGGACTATTTACAGTGTTGTCTTCCCAAACACAGATACTTAGAGTTGCCCACAGGTGGCTACTGATAATCAGGAAAAGGAAAAAGCATAGGGAGGAAAGCAGTTTGAAGGAAAGTAGATGTCAATGAGACAGTAAAAGGTCAGAACAAACTTTTGACTTACTGTCTGTATACAAAGATTTATAACAAATTGAGACTTTTTTTACATTTATCATTGAGATGTGTAATCCTGGGCAAATGATTTAACCTGTGAGTGTGAGTCTTTGGAAAATGAGGCACATGACTTTAGTTATCTGCCTTATGCTTTCAAGACTGAACAGAATGTTAACACTGGGGACCCCGAGGGAATCACACCTGGTGTTTGCACTCACATCGTTTCCTCCAGGATGGAACTGAGCCAGTGCGATTTGGTCCATGGGGCATTATGAAGTTTCTGAAGTGGAGGACTGATAAGCCCTTGCAGATTGGGTCTTATCCTCTTGGTGTACAGTGATTCCTGGCCAACTCTCAGCCGTTCCAGCCATGCCAACTGCGTGCCAGACATGTGAGTGCAGAAGCTATCTGAATATTCCAGCCTCAGCTGATACATAGAGCAAAACTACCGGCTCAGTTCAGAATTGGGAGAAACAATAGTGTTTTACGCCAGTGTCTGTTGGGCACCAGTATTTTGCGGTGTGTTAGATGTCCTGAGACCGCCGGAGAAATTAAATTTGTAATGGGTCAGGGCCAAGTATAGCGGCCTTCCTGTTACTGGTGATGTACTGAATAGTCCCAAAACTTCAAATGATTTAAAACCACCAGCTTCTGCCCTTGGACTGCAGAGTCCTGGGTTTGATTCTGGTCAAGGGCACATACCTTGGTTGCAGGCTCAATCTCTGGCCCTGGCAACCAATTGATGTGACTCTCTCACATTGATGTTTCTCTATCTCTACCTCTTCCCTTCCATTCTCTAAAAATCAATGGAACGATGTCCCCTGGTGAGGATTAACAACAACAAAAAACCCTAATGAATCCCAGCAAACATCCAGGCACTGGAGATTTAATGCCTGCAGGAGCTGGATTCTGTGACAGTCCTGGGTATCAGATCCCCTCACAAGATCTTCCTTCTCTTGCCACTGAAGCTTACGAGGTAAGGAGGAAGGGACAGGAGTTGCTGAGTACTTGTAAGGCAATGTGCCAATGTACACATGTACTGCATGTCTTCACATCTCTCTGACCATTTAGGTATGTGTTTATTATGCGTAGAAGGTGAGAAACTGCAGTGGCACAAGGAAAAAGAGAGAAGGCAACAGAATTTTA